GTGCGCGCCTGTGAGCAGCCCAGGGCCCTCGCCGAACTGTCAGCCGCCCCAGTTTGCAAGTAAACCGCCTCCTGGGAGGGGGCCACGCCCTGCTTAGCTCATCAGCTTTCTGTCTAATGCAAGAAACGTTTTCTCTGAGTAGGGTCTCCCAGCTCGCTTGGGGCTTTCGCTTTCTTGAAAGGGCGCATTCACAGACGCCAGGAGCCATCTGCTCGGGACAGGAAATGAGTCTCTGAGACCCGACGAGCCCTGGCACCGTGGTGGACTGGAGACTTTGTTTAATGGAGAGCTTTGATAGGCTCGGGCTTAAAGGAAGCGAGCCTGTTCCCTCCCCCGGGGAACTTGTGTTGGTTACCGGACGCACAAGGGTGGTTTTGAGTAGCATCTTTGATACTTTGCGGGGTAGGGGGTTAAAGCGATGACTGACCCTATGGCTCGATTAAGGAAGTTATTGAGCTAAATGCTGCGGGTAGAAAGAAATAACAGGCCAGCCTCACTCGCAACCCAGTGGAGAAGAGAAACCTAGAGGCAGAACCGAGTAAAGCGAGCTATTGTGCAGCGCGAATCTCATCCCCTTGACGGTGGACGCTCCCCATTGCTGTGCACCCGCACCTGCCACTCAGTCTGCGGGCTTTCTGGGAGCGCAGGCAGGTGGGTGGCTGACACCCCCTCCCCAGTGGCTGAGGGACTGGTGGATAAGTGCCCGTCCCTGAACTGCAGGTGGGGGGACACTGGCCTGCGCTGCCGGCCTTGCCCCTCGATGTGTGGGCGGCGGACTCAGCACCTGCGACCCTGGGCACCGCTGCCATGGCAGAGCTCAAGGCTTTGCCCCACACCTGCTGAATCAGAACCCGCACCTTAACAGACTCACCAGGGGCCCCTCTGCCCGTCCAAGTCCGAGAAGCAAAGGTCAAAGCCAGGCTCGCCCCGCAGCCCAGCCGCTGCAGCGTCCCCTGGGAACTCGTTGGAAGTGCAAATGCTGGCGCCCCACCCCAGGCCTTCTCCATCCAACTCTCGGGGCGGGGCCCAGAGAGCTGTGTTCTAACTGGCCCTGCGGGTGATTCAGGTTCGCGGGTGAAGTTTGGGAACCACTGACCTAGTGGTTTAAAAACTGTAAAGTGAGCTTCCCCCCCCCCTTTAATTAGAGGTCAGGTCCACTTTGCCTGACTCTGTCTTTGTTTCCTTCTCTTTTTCAAAGTTGATGATCCGACGCCCTTTGACGTTCAAGCTGAGGTAACTCTGAAGACAAACTTTTTTGCCACGAGAAACGTCTGCAACGAATTACTGCCCATAATAAAGCCTCATGGTGAGTCCAGCGTGTGGATTGTCACGTTGCATCACTCAGAACGGAGTGAGCCAGGGCCTCTGCTTCCCAAAGGGGCCACCCAGGGGTGCTGTTCTCTGAGGGGGAAACATAGAAAATGGCATTATTTTAAAAAATAGATAGATAGATAGATAGATAGATAGATAGATAGATTTCAGAGAGGAAGGGAGAGGGGGAGAGAGATAGAAACATCAATGATGAGAGAGAGTCATTGATGGGCTGCACGCCCCTCACCAGGGACTGAGCTCACAACCGAGGCATGCGCCCTGACCAGGAATTGAACCCGGGACCCTTCAGTCTGCAGGCCGACGCTCTATCCACTGAGCCAAGCCGGCTAGGGCCAGGCATCATTTTTTTATAGTGCTGTGTCTGGTCCTCACCCAAACATTTTAGCTTTAGCTTTAAAAGGGATGTATGCCACATGGTGATGCTCTTGAGTCTCCCATGACATGAACTCAATCCTAGAACAATAGGTGTTGCGAGTCTTAAAAGTCGTCTTGCCTTTTTGCAACCTCGGGGAGTCCTCCTCCAGCTCCCCAAGGTGAAGGGGCCACACCCAGCTCCCCTGGGGTTGGGGGTGGTGTCCGCCCTAGCATTATATGACTTTCCCTGTATTCCTTTCTTCTTGCACCAAGCTTGGTCTCGGATTCAGAACACCCACAAGAACATTTTCTTTACTAGGAAATATCTTGCCCACACTCCAAAGCATTCAATAAATAACTTTAATTGTTTCTTGCACAAATATGTGTTGAGTGCCTCCCGTAACCCAGTCATTACTCTGGTGATGTGTGCACCATGGGCCAGGACAGTCGTGCCCTCGGAGCACCGAGTCCAGTGGGGGAGACTGTCATTAGCAAAGAATCACAAGCTTCTATTACAACTGTGCTGGAGGTGGGAGGAGGAACGGGGTGGGGGGCGCGGGGGAGGTCGCCGGGGAAGGCTTGCTTCCCTGAGGAGTTTGTTTCCCAAGAAGTCAACTGTGAGTCTAAGAAAAAGCAACACTGTGATTCTCATTAGAAATGCGCTTTTAAAAATTTAACATTTTGAATAACGATGATCTCTAGTGCAAAAACCTTAAAATCTAAAAAGTTGCCTGAGAGAGTTGCACCTGTATTGCCATCCGCCCCCACCCCAGCTTGCCCAACCCCTGTCTCCAGCCCCCACAGGTAATTCTCTTTATTGGCTTCTTCGCGGGGTGGGATCCTGGGAAATCCGCAGGTAGAGCTGCAGGTACTGGCAGGTACGGCAGAAGGGAGCCCTGGGTCCTGGTTCATGGAGTTGGTGAGTGCCTAGGGCCAAGTGGGTGGAGTTTTACATTCATATCTAAGCAAATCTAAATGCATTTTTTTGCTCCCTTTTTTACACAAAGGGAGACGTTAAGCATACTGCTTGCCACCTTGTTCCTTTCGTTCACTCTATCTGGGGCTCTTTCCAGACCAGGACAGAGCTTTCCTATCCTTTCTTACTGCTGCGTAGCATTTCACTGCAGGGGTGTCTCTCACCAAGTACCAGGATGTCTATTCCCTGTGGATCTTAGAATCATAGAATTTGAAAGCTGCAAGGTGCTGGAGAAGCCTTACTTCCTACACCTGCACTTTCAGAGAAGGAAACTGAGGCCCAGAGAAGTGAACACAGCCAGGCGGTGACGGAGCTGGAACAGTACCCAGGTTTCCTGACTACACCCCTCAATCAAATCAGGATAATTAGTTCTCGTGAAGTAAGGATTGCAGCTGCCAAGTGATCGCAAACCAAGCCCTTTGAAAGAGAAAAGAAGGCTGGAGGGAGGGTGGGGCTCAGGGATCAACCCAGGACAGGTGAGTCGCTGGAGGGCAAAATGCTGAGCATCAGTGCTTCTTGATTTGTAGGGAATTGCTAGCTCCCTGATTTAAAAGCCACTCTTTCTTTAGGTTTATATATCACTTTAATTTTTAAAAAATATATTTTTATTGATTTCAGAGAGGAAGGGAGAGAGAGAAACATTCATGATGAGAGAGAATCATTGATTGGTTGCCTCCCTGCACGCCCCCCACCCCCCGACCAAGGATGGAGCCTGCAACCTGGGCATGTGCCCTGACAGGGAGTCAAACCAGGACCTCCTGGTTCATAGGTAGATGCCCAATCACTGAGCCTCTCCACCCAGGTTATATCACTTTAAAGAGTTATTCCGCTTGCTTATTTGTTTGAGATTCTGAGTAAATAGGTTAAGCAAGTGTCCAGCCACTAGGGGGAGCAACTTGCCCACTCTTTCTAGAAGAGTGTTTCTGGACCAGTGAGGCCACCTGGACCTCAGCGGAGGGGGATGGGGAGGCATGGCTGCAGCCCTTCTCGGGGCTGATTGCACCCATCTGGCTTTTGAGACTGTCACCCCTTGGCCTCTCCCAGAGTGTGTCCTTAGATCAAAGAGGACACTTTTGCCCTGGCTGGTGTGGCTCAGTTGCTTGGAGCAGCATCCCGTGCACTGGAGGATCTCGGGTTCCAACCTTGGTTGGGGCTCGAGCAGGAGGCAACCAATTGATGTTTCTCTCTCACATTGATTGTTTCTCTATTTTTTTCTCTCCCCCGCAAAACCCACAAACATATCCTCGGGGAGGATTAAAAGAGGACACTTCTTCCTCTTAGGTTTTGTATTTTCATCAGAGGCATAGGGTAGCTCCCATAACTTGATTTTCTTTTCTATCTTCCATTTCCATATATATAATATGTTTTTTAAGTATACATATATATACATATATACATATATATATACATACATATATATATATATATATTGATTTCAGAGAGGAAGGGAGAGGGAGAGAGAGATAGAAACATCAATGATGAAAGAGAATCATCAATCGGCTGCCTCCTGCACACCCTACACGGGGGCTCAAGCCCAAAACCCAGGCATGTCCCTGAGGGGGAATCAAACCAGGACATCCTAGTTCAGGGGTGGGCAAACTTTTTGACTCGAGGGCCACAATGGGTTCTTAAACTGGACCGGAGGGCTGGAACAAAAGCATGGATGGAGTGTTTGTGTGAACTAATATAAATTCAAAGTAAACATCATTACATAAAAGGGTACGGTCTTTTTTTTTTTTAGTTTTATTCATTTCAAACGGGCCGTAGTTTGCCCACGGCTGGGCTAGTTCATAGGTCGATGCCCAACCACTGGCCCACACGGGCTGGGCTAGAGTCGTGTCTTTTCATCAGCAATTACACCTGCACCAGGATTCAATCACAGTCCCTCGTGGCAGAGCCAACCAGCGGCCGTCTGTGTGACCTGCTTCCGTGTTTTCGCTGTCGTTCCAGGCAGGGTGGTGAACATCAGCAGTCTGCTGGGCTCCCGCGCCCTGGAGCAGTGCTGCCAGCCCCTGCAGGAGATGTTTCGCTGCAAGGACCTCACAGAGGGGGACCTGGTGGACCTCATGAAGAAGTTTGTGGAGGATGCGAAAAATGAAGTGCATGAGAGCGAGGGCTGGCCCAACTCGGCCTACGGGGTGTCTAAGTTGGGGGTCACGGTCTTATCCAGAATCCTGGCCCGGCAATTGGATGAGAAGAGGAAAGCCGACAGGATTCTGCTCAATGCGTGCTGCCCCGGGTGGGTGAAGACAGACATGGCTGGGGATTTCGGCTCCAGGACTGTGGAGGAGGGGGCAGAGACCCCGGTCTACTTGGCCCTCCTGCCTCCGGATGCCACTGAGCCTCAGGGCCAGCTAGTCCGGGACAAAGTGGTCCAGGACTGGATGAATGACTTCTGTAGTGCTTGCTGCTAAATAAATGAGGGGCGGGTGAAGGGATTCCGGTGCTGGAGTCTGGTGTGTTTCTGTCCTTCAGGAGTGTGGATTGCGATCTCCCCGTGGGAAGATGTCTAGTTCTGAACTCAAGCCAAGTGACTTTGTTACACCCACACTGGAGCCTGCAAGGAAGAACCTAGTCGTGTGGTTGTCAAATGTTAGAGGTTGTCAAATGTCAGAACCGGCTGGAGGGCATGTTACATCATTGCCCAGAGCTGGGGCCCAAGAATGGGTGCTTCTCACAAGTTCCCAGGGGCTGCTGGGGCTGCTGGGGCTGCTGCGGCTGCTGCGGCACTTCGAGAGCTGCTGGTCTAGAGGTCTCAGACAATGGGGGTTTCCCAGCTGCCCTCTGCTGCTCCTGGGCTGTTGACTGTGGAGGGTGATGACTTAGCCTGTTTCCTTAGCTCTGCACCTCTGCCTCTGCCTTGTATCCCATTGTTCTATTACATTGAGTACATTTTATAAAAATCATATTTTATTGACTTCAGAAAGGAAGGGAGAGGGAGAGATAGAAACATCAGTGATGAGAGAGGATCATTGATCGGCTGCCTCCTGCATGCCACAACCCTCCCTCTGGGGAGCAAGCCCACAACCCTGGCATGTACCCTGACCAGAAATCGAACTTCAACTTTCTGGTTCATAGGTTGATGCTCAACCACTAAGCCGCTCTGGCTGAGCTCATTTGAATGCATTTTCATTGGTTCTTATATTTAAGTTGTAGATGTAGCTTGAAGGGTGCAAGAAGAATGTCTTCCATTTATTTATTTTTGGGGGGGGATATGATTTCCTCCATAATGGGCTTTTCTTTTAGGCTTTGCGTTCTATGTTCTTCCCAGGTTGTGTGCAAGGTTGCCCTGCCACTTTTTTCATCTTGTTCTGTGTCCAGACCATCTCTTTGCTCCAACATATGCAGATGTCTTCTCCTTAACCGCTCCCCTCCCCTCAGGCCTATAGCCCAGGTGATTCTTCAGATGCCTCCCCTGCCCGCTCTGTACTCTCCGACTACAGGCAGCTCCACATTCACTGCTTTCATTTTTTAAAATATATTTCTATTGACTTCAGAGAGGGAGAGGGAGAGAGAGAACCTCCCACACAGTTGAAAATCCAAGTATAACTACTACTTGAATTGGTCAAAGTTAATTTAAATTAACTTCCCTCATACCTGGAGTTCTTTGGAGGTAGGTGACATAAATACATTATGTCATGTGTATTATTTTACATAATTGTATTAGAACAAAGTTGCGTCTGGTGTTTTTTAACACAAATAGACTGGTTCTCTCTCTTTTTAAATGGTGAGTATCAGCAGTTCTTTCATCTCTTATTAGTTCAATGTCGTGTGGAGTGAGGCTAGGATTTGAAAAATCTCCCATTTGTCAACACTGTTTTTGTAAAAACGAAGTTTATATCTTCATTAGAACATCAATTTTCATGAAAGTAATTTTTTTTTCTTGGTAAATGGTCACTACTTTAGTTTCCCTCTGCTTCCACTTTAAGACCATTCCCCAAATTGACCATCAGAGGATGTACATTGGGGGCACTTGGTATGTGCCAAATGGAGGTGGAAATGGCTAGGCCAGACATCCAGCATTCCCAACTATTAAGATACTAGTGTCCTGGTGCACGGTTCCATGCACATTGAAAGGAAATGAATTAGAAGAAATGTTTTAATATCACTATATGTGTATTGCTAATGAAAAGAAAATAGGATTCTACCGAGTCTCCTATCTATCTACTCCAGGATTTCTGTGAGTATCAAATGAGATGAGGCACAGAAAACACTTCACAAACATTTGGTTAAAGTGTAAAATGTTTGCACCTGGCTATAAAGCAAGTCAGGTTTCTGGGCTGAAGAAACTCAAAGGAGGCTAGTCACTAGGGCAGTGGTTCTCAACCTTGGCTGCACATTAGAATCACCTGGGAATCTTTTTAAAATCCTGATTTCTGGGCCTCATCCTTTGGAAATTCTGTTTCTTTGTTATGGGGTGGGGCCACAAGGATTTTAAAAAGATTCCCAGGTGATTCTAACGTGCAGCCAAGGTTGAGAACCACTGCACTAAAGAGAGGAAGCTGGGCGTTGCTATGTGACATCATTACCCAGTGCCCATAGCAACCATGGCTGGGCTGGGCTGGGCAGGGCACCTCATTTTATGCCATGGGGTCTTGTCAGCATTGGCTGTGATTTGGTGGGGTGTCGCTCTGGGGTGGTGGCGGGGCCTGTGTCCCACTTGGGGGAAGCCAAGTGTTGGTTTGTCAGCGCCAGGTCCATGGTGCCATTTATTTTTAAATGGCCAGTGGGCGTCATGGCAGCACCTGTGTTGAGCATCTTCCCCCTGGTGGTCAGTGCATGTCATAGCTACCAGTCGGACAGATGGTCACTTAGTCTTTTATGTATATAGACTAGAGGCCCGGTGCTTGAAATTCGTGCACAGGTAGGATCCCTAGACCTGGCTGGTGATCAGGGCCAATTGGGGCCTTCCTTTGTTCTGTGCCGTCCTCTGGTGGTCAGCACACGTCATAGTGAGCAGTCGAACTCCCAGTCGGTGGAACTCCTGAGGGGACAATTTGCATATTAGCCTTTTATTACATAGGAGGATTCTTGGTTATTTGAGAGAGGTGATAGATCCCCTTGGGAATCTGAGACAAACTATATACTCTTTCTCCAGAAACATACATCTATTCAAAAGGTTCTGTACAATTTATAGTGTTCATGGTCCTCCCAGTCCCACCCCTATCCCCACCACCCAAAAAACAACACTTTCATGATTGCCTTGCCTTCAGGAGCCCTGGACTAGATCTGAAAATTCCCAAGGGATCTTAAATGGGTAGAGGCCTCTACAAAATTACCACCTCCGTCAACAGGTGGCACTGCTTGGGTTGGCTGGCACTGCTTCCCAGCTGGTGCAACGGGTGCTCAGGAGAACCACACCCTTCACGGTGCCTCTCGCCCTGCAGCTGTCAGGCCAGGCTGGGCGGGTCTGAACTGGCCAGGTCCGAAGGCTCGTGAGAACGACCGGAAGGGGTTACAGTTTATCTGTAAATATGAATGCTCTTTAGAGTTGACGAGAAGCCCCATTTCTGAGCCAGAGTGCATGGAAGGAAGCTCATCTCATGAATTAATTTATTCACTTCGCTGATGCCAAGGGTGGAAAGGTGCGGTGTGTGGGGAGGAGGCACCGTAATCAGAGTGCCCGAGCCTTCTGCGGCCCACCTCCTCCTGAGGGCTTGGGTGACGGGAAGGATGGGGTGAGCCATGGGTCCCAGCTTTCTAAATCCCACGGTTCTCCGATCTGCAACTCCAAACCCCTCCTCAGGCCGGCTGATCCAGTGACCGACGTCCCCTTTTGCTGGGTGGGTCAGGGGAACTCCGGGTGAGAGGCGGAGCCACCCTGCCCACTTGGGTGAGGTCTTAGGGGACAGTCTCACAGCGAGGGAGCGAGCTAGTGGCCCCCGGTGATGGACACCCAGCGCCCGCGGGGAAGCAGCGCGCAGGTCCCGCCCACTCACTGAGAACCCGCCTCCCAGCCCCACCGCCAGACGAGATGCCGCCTCCTGATCCGTCCCCAGGTCAAGGGCCC